AGGCGGCAGCAGCTGGCCCGTGAGTGGGGCTCCCCCTGTGGGCACCGGGACCCGGGGGGAGGGCGGTGCCGAGCCCGTAGCTGCACCGGCTGCACACGGCTCTGGGAGGCTGTAGGGGTGTTCCCTGTCCCCGTGTCCAGAGTGACTCTCCCCAAACCTCCCCCTGCCCTCCCAGCTGCAGACAACGAGACAGGCTGTTTCTAGCATTACCTAGAAAGAACTAACCTGAAACCAGTGGAGGTACGGTATCATCCCACAGCTGGACGTTAGAGAAGAACGGGGTGCCTGGCAGTTCCCTATCCATAGGGAGCAGCATGTCAGTGTACGTTTACTTTTGGCAAGGATACCTTCACCTTGGACAGAGGGAGAAGATCAGGTCTGGTCCCCACCGTAAGACAAACAGATTAGCAACTACATCTGAAAAACAGACTTCGACATAAGTATCGCTGTAAGAGAAAGCCTCCTTACGTTTTAGACAGGGCATGTCAGTCTGCTGCAAATCAGATGAACAAGGAGAATTTCTAACAGGACACCCCTCTGTACAGAGTGTGCCGTTTCCTTCGAAAATACTGGTGACGTGCCTTTTTGTGACGGGCATTTCACAAAACCTAGTGATCACCTAGAAAAGCTGTATTTATGCATGCACATGTGTATGCGCGCCTAATACAAGAAAGAAATGCTAATCTTTCCAACAAATCAAGAAACTGTTCTACAAGCCAGATCTATTTTAGTAAATATGATGAGTGCGCAGGACAAGGGTGGTAAGTTACAGCCCATGCCCAAACTGCTGCCTCATCCAGCCAGAAAAATGGCTTCACCAATATTCCCCCTTTCCTTTTGAGAATGCTCCCTGGTCCCTGCCGTTCTCAGAATCATGCCCAAGTTCTGCCTGGAAAGTGTTAGTTACCACAAGCCAAACCTGTACATACACACAAACAGGCAAGGGGACATACAAAGAGTTAAATCATTCAGCCACAGCCCAAGTACATACACTGGCCATAGTTAGACTACAGACACCCTGTCTTAGCTGTGGGGTACTGGGATGGGGAGAACACCTGTTAGGAAAACTTAGCGTTGTTACTACGCAGGAACTCAAATCCTGATACAGGTCTGATATCAAGTAACCTCAGTATCGTTTCTTCCCTCTGCACAGCGTCACATCATTTGGAAGAAAATAATGTTCTCGATGGATATTTTCTTCCAAATGAAGTAGATCTTCATGAGGTAATAGTATTGCCAAAAGCAGAATGGGAAAGGATTCAGGACAATCTTGGCAGCAAAACTAGAGAAGCAGCACGCATCCTCACTGAGAAGAAAGAACGGGAAGAAATGCACTTACGCTCCAAAGCAGCTGTAAAAAACTGGCCCAATACCATCATGGTAAGTACAAGACACATTTGTAAACAAAGGGATTCATTTTCATAAAACCACTCATGGTAACATTTCTAGCTGTACTCCCTTTGTTTAACATTTGCTTTTAAATAGGTATTTTAACTAAACTCCATTTAAATACATTTAATGTCTAACATCAACAGTTAGATTTTTTAATTAAAGCTAAAATGCAAACTTAAAAAAAAAAACAAACATTGAGTACATCACCTTCAGAATGGTTTATACGTTTTTAATCCATGTGCTTTAAATGTGATTTCTAATTTTATCTGCACTGTAGGGCCTGGCACAACGGAAACTTAAAGCCAAACAATTACGTGAAGAAAGGGAAGAGGAAGAAAGAAAGCTACTTGATTTGGAAGAAGAGCAGTTCCAAGCAGCAAAACGGAAGGAGGCTATTGATCATGCAAAAACCTACCTGTACTATCAGAATGAAAGAGTGAAAGGGTTGCATGTTTGTTGATAACTTATAATTTTTAAATTCAAATTGTACTGAATTTCTTCAAACACTTCTGAACACGCAAATTACTTTAAATGTTCTCTTGCAGAGTGCACTTCTACTTGCTGAGGTCCTAAAAGAAAGAGATGCTCAAGTTGAATTTAAAAAGTTAAAGGCAGATGTTAACAAAAAGAAGGATGAAGAAAAGGAACATGAATGTAAAGAAGCTATTCTCAGAGAGCAAGAAAAGGCACATCAGCGTTATATGAATCAACAGGCACTACGCAGAGATCAGCTGGAACAGTAAGTAATAATTAAAAGTAACCCTACTTTATTATTTACTTAAACTCTCTTCTCACAAATACATTCTATAAGGTTTTTACAGAAACGTACTAATAATTTGATTTACAAATGTGACACTTTAAAAGAAAAATCCAGAGCGCCACAAAAGACCTTGCACAAAAGGGAAAAGCTGCGATATGCAGTGTCTTTTATTTGCCAACAGTCTGCCTGTAAAATCGCCTCTGGCAGGCATCAATAGGTTTTAGTCAAATCGCTATTCAAAAGGTGTTACTGAAAGTGTATTTTAACTCAGTTTTGGTCCCAGAAAAGGAAAAGGTTAAACCAGTTTTTCCATTTGCCCATAACCAGATTCCAGAGAATGCATGAAGTGAACACATCAAGAGAATGCATCACTGCCACCTCCATTCTTTCTCTAAGCTCTTATAGAAACCTTATGGAGGGGTCCCCAGTGGTATTTATAGGACTGGCCCTGGTGGTCTGATAGAAGGAATCAAATTCCCTGAGGCAGAGGAAGGGCTCAAAGTCTGGTCTCACATATTCCAGGTCCAACACATAAATCCTTGCAGGACTTCGTATAGAACACTACCAGTTCAAGCTGTTGTCTGCATGCCCAGAAGGAGAAGCACACAGACTTTCTGGGGAAATCTTGTTCACTGGGGATGCTGCAGAGATAGGCCAGAACATTATGAATGCAGTGGTGCTAACGGATCACGCAGATAAAACTTGTTACCACTAGACTGCAATCTGTGAGCATACCATAGCTAATTTCTGGTCAGAGGATTGAGGGCTACCATTACAAACAATTATGCTATTTTTCACCTCTGATATTCTACCCACCTTCAATTCAAAGTACCACATCCTTCAGTGCAAGATACCTATGGTTATGCAGAATCCCTATCTGTTCATTACTTCGTGCGATCCCTAGCCTGTTTATTCAACTCCTTTTCCTGATTCAGAATAAAGGAGCACAAGCATCAGGCAGATCTGGCCAAGCTAGAAGACAAAAGAGAAGGGGAACAAATACAGAGATTGAACCGATTGTACCAATTGGAAATTCAGAGAGGAAAAGAAAAGGAACAGGAGGAAAAAGTTGAACGCCAGAGGGTGTATCACGTAAGTAACAGGAAAGCAGAGAGTTCAAAATGCTTGTTTCATCTTGGCTGCCTGGAGTGAAACAATAGCATTCATATATCTAAATGGGCCTACTGGCAACAGGAGGTTTGCTGGCAGCTTCAGGAGCATTGGATCATCTGCCTACCCTGCCAGTTGCAGGCCATGTCTTTCCTCTGTGCTTTTGAGAAAGGCCTCTTGGAGGCAGGTCCCTTCTCTTGTCTGAAGGGACATTGGCACCTGATGTTTTGACTGCTGTATGATTAAGAAGTCTGCTGTAGACATCAAGGAATAGTCTCCTTGACTTGAGAACTGGATTTAAGTTCCACGTACCTGCTGGTTTAAGCCCAGTTTTCTTTGTTAGGAAGAGGGAATAGCCCAAGTCTGAACATAACAGTATCTTTTTAACTTGCCTTTCCCTTTATGATTGGAGTGATTTAGAAATTTAGTCAAGACAAGCTGCCTTCTCTCTTCACATTTACAGGCATCTTGCTAAACTAGAAATGCCCCAGAACAGTTCTGACCAGCATACAAAAGACAGCTGTTTTTTTACATAAAATTATAGAAAACTCTTCTTCAGCTATGATTTGGATTAAGCTCTCAGACTGGGATAGTTTTGGATGAGATGGGCCAGGAGCAGCACGGTCTGTGTACATGTTGGTGGGGGTTGCACAGTCCCGTTCCTCTCAATGTCCCCCTCTCTCACGTGTGTGAATGGGAGCAAGGGATAATGCTCACTGTATTGCATAGCAGTTTCTTTGTGTAATGGGCTGGAGAAGCAGCTCAATTCCCCTTCTCCTTCCTCATATCTACTATCTCCTCTTCATGCATGTTTGAACGGGGAGGCAGAAGTAAGTGGAAGCACTGAGAATCCCTTTCCTCTCTTCTCTCTTTGAAAGAAACACAAAGAGAGAGAATAGGGAGTGATTCTTTTAAGTTGCTACCCCAGGCCCAGATTTTCTAAACTTGATTGGTTATATCAGGACCCTTTTGCCCATGCAGGAGCATGTAACTGACCAGAAAATGATCAAAGCAGTAGAGGAACAAAAACAAATGGAAGAAGATGATCGGATTAAAGCTCATTTTAAAGCAAAGGAAACTATTGCCAAGCTGATAAAAGAGAAAGAAGCTGAGATGCGTAGGTAGGTACAAAGCTAGAGTATAAATTGTAAATAAACTAAAAATTATACTGTAGTCACATTCAAATCTTTCAGACTGATGGTGTAACACAAACCACAGTTATTCTAAAAATTAAATTCTACTGATAGGGAGAGTAGGGAATTCAGGAGAAAAAGGAAATTCTTTCACAGGTTACTTAGTAGTAGGTGTGTGTGGGAGCGATCTCTCGGCCCTTCAAAGTACAAAGACTTATGGAAGTGCAAAGCTCTACACCAGTGTGTTTGGAACAGTGATTTTCCATATGTCCTGCCAAGCCTCCACCTCCTCCACAATTAAAGACAATTAAAATCCTTGACGAAAGTATTTTTGTGCATAAGCTATATTTGCCTCAGTCAGATCAAGAAAAATAATTTGACTTCTTAACTAGGCACCTAAATTAATTACATTGGGTTATTATTAAGGGAAGATGGTTTACCAATTTAACAGTGAGGGTACAGCATGAAGATACCATTGAGCCAATGTAAGAGTTCCCTTCTCTTCCTACTTCTGGCCAGTCCTCCCAACATTTCTCTCCTGATGCTAGGCAGACTCCTCCCCGAGCGATCCAGCTTGTTATTGCAACAGAAAGCTAGTGTTACAAGAATACAGGGAACATTTATTTGCGAAATCAGATAATTAAAAAAAAAAAAACAAAACAGGAGGTACACAAGAAGATCAAGGAGTTGGATGGGTGGCCTGGCCTGTGTGGCAAGAGGAGAGAAGACTAGAAGCAGGACTCCTGAGTTTGGTAGCAGTAATGCTTCAGGTAGACCCAGGTGTGTACCCTGGTATGTTATGGTAGCTCATGTTCTTCTGCAGACTAACACGGGAACATCAGGACAAAATTGTTAGCCAATTAGCTGTACAAATGAATGAGGCATTAAAGAGGGAAGATGATCGTCTTGCTAGAGACATTGCAAAAAAAGAAGCTGAACAAGAAAAAAAATGGAAAGAGAAAGAAGCAAAAGAAAAGGCAGCCATTGAATCTATTGCTGAACATAGAGCGACTGTGGTAAGAAACCTAGCCTGTTCTTATTCCTGCTTACTCCAACTGAGGAGCCTGGCTGAGATCACAGCTGAGATCACAGCTGGCGGCTCTGGTGCCATGATTCAGCATGCTTCATCAGGTCCGCTGCACCTTTCTCAGGTCTTCTCTCCCTCTCCCACTTCCGTGTCGTGCACACATCTGCCAGGGCTGCTGAAAACCCTGGGCTTGGACACTGGCCAGCCACAATGACCGTGCTTATCAGAACACAGATACAGGGCTGCTTCTGCCAAAAGATATGACTTCCAGCTTAGCAGGCTAGCTCCTTGGTTAACTTTAATTGTGTATTTTGTAAAACACAGATGCAGATGAAAGAGAAAAAGGAGAGAGAGGAAAAAGCAGAGGGTAAAAAAGAACTTCATGCGTTAATGGAAGAGAACCGCATCTACCTAGAAATGGAAAAAGCCAAGAAACAAAGACAACGTGACGCAAACATGGAAGTACAGAAAATTCAGATCCAGCAAATGGTAAATAGAAGAGCTGTACCCTGTCAGCCCCCTCAGAAAGAAGCATGCATCTAAACCAACAGCACTAGCTCCTGCCTGAGAGGAAGAGAGAGGGTGCTTGCTGTGTTTTGTTTGGGATTTTTTGTTTGTTGTTTTTTTTTTAAATCAGGTATGCTCTGCATATGCTGGTGTTGGGGACCAGCCTCCTCTCAGAGCAGTGGCGCAAGTCAAGGCTGGTTTGCAATGACAGATCACATCCTGTCCTGTGCCCTCTTCTATCTTCTGGGCAGGTCACCAAAGAGCAGCAGCTGATGCTGATGTTCACTCAGCTTCTTATGTTCCCTTTTTGTGGGGGGTACGGCAGGGGAGAGATGATATTTGCGAAGTAGCAACTAACATCACTACAGATCTTCTGTAAGCTTTTAGCCTCTCTAAGTTCTAAGGGACAGTTATGTTGTGAAAGAAATACTAAGCTTTGTTATTCTCTTTTCTTCATCAGGCTGAAAAGCAGGCAAAAAAACAGCAGGAAAAGCAAGCAGATTTGGACTACGATGCTCAGAGAGAGGTTATTGCACTTTGTAAGGAGCGTGAATTTCAGAGCTATGCAAAGCAAGTAATTGAATCGGAGTCCAAGACTACACATCATCTTTATCCTCTTCTCAAAGCATCCAAAGATGGAAGAGGACTTGGACACGGGCCATTTTCCAAAGAGAAGGAATAAATACTAGTATTCAAGCACAGGATGGTGCTGGGACCCAGTTACCTTGTTGTAGCTGTACTACTGCTCAAGAAGTTAAAAACATGAAGTAATATTGAGACTATCCAGCAAGGAAAGGCCGAAGCAGTTTTCATGTGGTGAAAAAAATATCTTTTTGAACCTTATGGGCAGAGTTAAACTGTAAATGATCTACATCAAATATATGCTATGAATCTGGAAGTCCACTTGAAAAAAAAAAATTTCCAGAGAACTGGTTATATTCTCAAAAATCCCCAGCTTGTATTTCATGAAAGTTAGTTTATTAAACTTCAGACAGAAATACATGATATATAATTGACCATCAATGTAACCCATTCCAGCCAAAAGCTCACTATTACTGTTATATTTTTACTATTCATTATTCTAAAAATTCACTGTCCCCGGTTTTTCAGGCCTAGGATACAAGTTCCCAGTGCAAAAGGTCACATTTTTCACTAGCCCACTTCCAGTTAAGTATTCTCCATAATAGAAAAAAACAAAACAACTTTACAGAATCTACAGAGGAAGAAAAAACAACCTAATACATATGAAAGAATACTTATGGTACTGCAGTTTTTATAGCATTTTGCAACTACCTCTGTAAAACAAATGTCATGCTATAAATTAGTTATATGAAAATACGAACATGATTTGATCACAGCCCTTAAAAGGTCACCTAGGAGGCAAATAGGTCCCAATATAGCTGTAAATAGCTACTACAAAAAGAGTGTGGCAACAAGAACAACGTAGATGGACTGTTCTTTCAAAAAGACTAACAATGATTCAATCTGCGATAAATAGATCCAGATCTAAAATTGTTTCTCAGATTCCTCAGCTGACTCACTCTCCAACACCAGTGTCACACATACCTCTCACTCCTTAAGCTTAGTTTCTTTGCTGAAATTTTACCGTCATGTTCCTGCCTTGGACAGAGTTAGGGTTTCCTATAATGACTTCCTCCACGAGTATCCTGGGGTCTAAACAGGGTATTCCCCTATTCTGGGGTCCACTGAAAACAAAGTCCAAGAAACTTGAAGCTTTGCTTTGTTGCACACAACCTTCTGTTCCAGCCCCCCAGCTGCCAGTCTCTGTTGGCCAAACTAGAAAATGATGCGAGTTCTAAAAAAAAAAAATTAGGTGAGTTTTATACAAAGGATGCTTGACAATATTTCAGTTTGGAAAATGGGTCTTTTGTGTGCCTTCAAGTTTCTAAGCCTGGCTTCCGATAGCAACAGGCTTTGAAGAAAGCACAGGATTTTGAGCAAGATGGGAGGCTACCCCGGAGGCGAGGTCCCTCCTGCAAGCTCAGGGCCAAACAGAACTGGTTTTACCTCCCCTGCAGTGTAAAATGGCTGGATGTAAGATGGATGTACTCCTTCACGAGTGCAGCAGTCACCTCCTCGAGGAGTCTTTTCCCGGCAGGGCAAGGGAGGTACTTTCGGAAAGAGGGGAAAGACGGACCTCCTCCCTCATCCAGCTCCCAGCACCGCCAAGGGCCTTCCTACGGGAAAACAGTGCCCAGAGGCCACCTTTTAAGGTCAGGTAATGGATAAAGGCGAGTTTCCAACAACCCCAGCTACAGGCAGGCATAGCGGGAGAGCTGCCATTGAGTCTATTGCTGAACACAGTGCCACTGTAGTAAGAAATCTAGCCTGTTCTTGTTCCTCTCTCTGTCATATGCTCGTACTTCTGAACACCGTTTTGAAACACCATAGATTCTAGCACAGTCGTCTTGAGTGAGATGCACGTGCAAGTTCTCACTTAGCAGCTGCCTCTCATATTTACCAGCACGAGGTTACGTGTGAGACGCAGCAGCCCACAGAGGCAGGCCGAGCCAAAACACCACACCACCGGCCGCGCAGAGCAGAGGCAAACAGCCGGAAGAAAAGCCGCCGATGTCGGAGCAGAAAGACAGAGGCAGAGTGGGGCCTAACAGCCTCTTACCGGGTACAGGCTCGCTACAGGGAAACGGATATTTCACGAACCGGC